TTTTTCTTGTGTCTTTTTCTGTATAGGAGAGACCCCAACCTCAAAAAAATAATATGTTCTTTGGATGTTGGGGATTTGGGTTTGAATCCCCTTATGCAGAGAAGAGAACCAAATGGGGGATGCCACAACTGGGACAGGGCCTCTGTGCATGGCAAGTGGTGAGTTTTACAATGAAAAGACATCACCTCTACAGTTGAGGTACTCCAGGGCTGGGCAGCAGCTGATTGCAGGATCAGTTACAGACTGAAGCTGGGCTCTAGTTTCCGCTTGAGTCCCACTCTAGATGCTGAGATCTTTCCTGAATTTAGGTGCAAGGGTTGAGTGTTTTTAAACTCTTTTTGTCAGCTTTCCAGATCAGTGAGTTGTCCTTTCCAAAACAGCCAGGCTAAATGATGGATTTCTTTGACACTCTGTACATGAAATTTGAAAGAATTACCAAGTTCTGGTTTGAGGGAGCTGAACCCAGAAAAGAGCAGCTCTGAATTTCTTTTAAAATGTGCTTTTTGTTCCTTCTTGAGTCTAAGTTTATCACCTGCAAAATAACAATAATGTAAGTTCAGATATCATACAGTGAAACGGACATTTGTTGTTTGATGGTCATTTCTACTCAGATCCTGAAAGTCTTACTATGTGGAAAAAATCTTATACTGAAAACAAAACAAAACAAATTTGTCATTGGAAAGTAAAACCCAAACATTCTGAAATTATTTTTATTTCTATCCTGTGAACAATCTCAGAAAAATTTCTGGGAATAAAAGATATGAATAGCTCAGCCACCTGATGCTGAGGAGTGTGGGGATATGTGGGGATATCTGCCTTTCAGTGTGAGAAAGGGGACCCTTGGTAGCTAAGTGGATGTACAATCTGTCCAGGGATGATCTGCTCAAAGACTACAGTGGTTTAAAAATCCTAAAGAGAGAAATCTCACTCTTTTGCCTTAAAGAAAATCGCTATTTGCCCTGTTACTCTGATCTGAAGGATTTTGTACTCCACCTGATCCCTCTGCTGACACATCCTCTCTATCTTGATTTGGAGGCCACAGCTCAGAATACGTATGTGTCCCGTAGCTAAGTATTTATGAATTAATGTCATTATATGATTATTAACTCAGCTGGCAATGGCTCCTTGGAAGGGTACGCTCAGTAATTCATCCAATTCTGACATTTTGGTGGCTGCACCAATAAAAGGTGTCTTTCCATATTCATAGGTAAGCCCAACGCTCAGTTAATTCAAAGCTGTTCCAGTGTGCAGCCTGACATCCTTGCGGATAGGCAGGGATAGAGATTTCACATCCTTATGGGCCTTTCTCTCACTAAACAAAAATACAGATAAATTTTCCTTGTATTGCTGATGTGCTGTAGACAGGTTACAGTTTGCCCCTGAAGTGTGCAATTGAGAAATCACATATTAAACATGATTGTCATTGTGCATTTAAGCTCTTATAGAATAGTAAATTAACTTGTGCTGATGTTGCTATATGCACTTGATGTACAAGAGTTAAGAGTATTCCCAAAACAAAGAGTCATGTTTCAGGCATGTAATAAAGCAATAAGTGTTTAGTTTATAAGCCTGCTTCATCTTGTGATGGATAGCAAAAGGTACTTTAAGTGTCAGCCCCGAACTGGCATGCTGCAAACATATTATCTTCTCATCTAGTGAGATAAAGCCATCACAGGGTAGGGTATTTGAAACTGCAAGGAGTTTTAATTGTACTTTGCATCTGGGTGTGGGCCAGGAGGGCACTGTATGTCCTTGTTCCATGCTTTCTTGCCCCATCTCTGCCAACTCTCTTGTCCCTGTTTCTGCTCCTCTCTCTGGGGATCCCAGAGAGGCCATGCCAAAGACTTTGGGGAAGACAAGGGTGTCTGCAGTATGCTGTGTTGTGCCTCCATTCTAGTGGTCCCTACTACCTCTTCTTTTAATGCAGCTATATACCCTTGCCTGGTGGAAGCCCTGTCATGTTTAATTGGCATAATTTTTTTTTTTGTAGATGCTGAACACTTTGAGTTTGGTTGGTGGGTTTTTTTCGGTTTTCACAGCTGCCCTCCCTGCATCTCTGAGTGTCTTCCTGTTTGCAGAAGAGCTTTGTGACCCAGTTGACTGCTATTTTGAGAGAGATACAGATACCTTATATATTAAAACTAAATGTGTAACCCAGATGATTTACCTTTAGTGTTTGAGAATACTACAAAATGTGCCTGGCTGTCCCAGTTTATGCAAGTACATGTTCTTTATAGTGATTTATTGTAAGATGTTAATGCATGCCTTGCTCCAGAGGCTATCCTACATGGAAAAAACTTAGAAAAAACTTAACTCTGATAGAAGTTCAAATGTAGCTCATTCTGTATGAGCATACTCAATCACAATGGCTAACAAGGCATCAACCAAAACCAGACAACTGTGAAGGAATACTCCTGTCCAAGGGAGATGGAAAACACTAGTGTGTAGAAAGGCTGAGTGGTTCTGGAAATACTCCTTAAGCACCAAGCAGTATGTGCTCTTTTTTTAAATAGGCATAACAATATTTAATTTTCATAGCATCAGTTTACTATTATCAGATTTGACAGCCAGCTGCTTAAATCTTTACCAGAATTGACAGTGCAATTAAAAAATGGTGAAGGCTAAGGCAATCATGAAGTTACATACGGCTTGAGCTGAAGGCCTGAAATGAGTTTTCAAAGACCCCTTAATCCTGGCCTGCTCTAACATAGGAAAAGTCAGACTTCACAAACTAGTTTTCTTTTACTAGAGGGCTTGTTGTTTGCTTTTCTGGGGGAACAGGCATGGGCTGAGTTTGAATGCAACAGAAAAAAAAAAAATGTAGTCAGGGCAAGGCTGGCTGTGTTAAGGTGCTTACACCAATTATCAATTTATCTTACAGCTGGTTTCTCCATAAAGGTGATGATTCACTGCTTTTAGAGGAGTTAACATAACACTACTGAATCTGAATATCAGATTGTCCCAGTGGTGTAATTGAGGAAGCCGTATCAGACAGCAGTGGGAATTTCAGCCCAAGATGTGACAGGAAGAGTCTAAGTGGAATTACCCTTGGCTGTGGCAGCATCCAGATGGCTCTGGACCAGGGGAAACTCTCAGGGGAGTTTGCAGAACTGAGGAGTTTCATGGAAAATGAAGGCTGGCCCAGTGATTCCTGCCAGGTACAAAAATTCCTGCCAGACTTCACTTGTATAAACTTGGATGATCTACCAGCTCAGGTATCTTCCTTCTGTCATTCTGTGTGCCTCCTTCAGCAATTTGCTTTGAAATCTGCTTTAAGGTATGAGCAAACAAAACTTGCTGTGAGGCAGAGTTGGAGCTGCACAGTTATCAGCTACTCCACAGGAAATGCCCACGGCATGGAGGACTTACAGACAGAAAACCAAGCTGCAAACGTTTTGCATTTCCCTTTCTTAATGCTGGTAATCAGAGCATGCTCCACACAACTGGAGAGGTGGCTTTCAGGCTTCTCACACCCTGCTAAGAATTACACAAAGGCTTCTTTCCTGCTTGACAAGTGGTTCCATCATTAAACCACTTGGTGACACCGAGTTGCATTGTCCTGCCTCAGACTTGCAGAGTCCTTTATCAGGAGCTTGGTCCTACCAAAGGTGAGAAGCAGTGACCAAAGGCCGCTCTTCAGAGGTCTTCTGGTTCATCTGAGCATGTGCTACTTGGACCAAGCCAGTCCTCCTTCTGCACACATCCAGAGCTCCTGACAGCTGGAGAACTTACAAGAGCAGAGAGCATGAGTTTAGACGGCACGTGAACAGAGCATCACACAGATCATGATTTGGGCATAAGCACCTTGGTTCTGTCCACACCCTGCTGGAGGTACGGGGTTTATTGGATTGTACCCTTAGGTGTTGTTTCTAGTAAAAGAGTCATATATGTACATCTATACTGTTCAGTAGGTAATTAAAAGGATGACCTAAGTAAATGAGGTTTCTGTAAAAAGATGACTTGTCACCTACCAAGCCATACACAGCAGTGGCCAGCATTTTACAGCACCAGTATCTCAATACACAACTAAGGCAGTTTAATGCCAACCTGCCTGCAGATCCCTGCAGAACAAAAGGCAGAGCTCTCTGAAAATCAGCAAGGACACCAGCCTCATGGAAAGGTGGTTTGAGACAATTCCTGGAGAGAAACAGCCAGTGGCTTCTTTTCCATGTGGGACTGATATCTACTCTGGTTTTGCTTCAACACTTGATGAAGTCCTTCTGTTCCAGGGACAGCCGGCATCTGATTTTGCAGTTTTACACTAAAGTCACTTCAAGCAAAGTAAACCACGTGCAAAATACAGAAAATAACTCACTTAACCCTCACCAAAATGATTTTGAAAGCAGTAAGGCAGGAGAAAGTCAATTTTCCTCCCACCCCCTTTTTATTTTTTCCACAGTAGTGAGATGGAACATTTAATCTGAATTAACCAAAGGAAAATAAATTTTGCTACAAGTTGCAGGCCTTGTGGCCCACTGAAACTGAATTCACCATGGGTTCAAGTGCTGATCACAATATTACCATCACCCCTGAGAAAGACCAGTGAGAAAAGGTTCCATGAAATGCCTCAGCCCAATAATAAAGGAAATGGGACTTGATGGGTCCAACCTGTCCTCCGACCTGTCTGATCTTTGCTATGGCTGTAGCAATAACTTTTTTTAAAGGAACAGGTATCAACCACCACTGGAAGCTGTTCAGGTCAGTTAAAAAACAAAACAAAAAAAACCCAAAAACCCAAACAAAACAAAAAACCTCAGACCATGATTTTATTTTATCAGTGACAGCTATTTGCCTCTTGTCAGCCAGATATGCAAAAAAAACCCCAAACAACCAAAACCCAAAACAAACCAAACCCCAAAACAAAAACCAACAGATGAGATCCCTCAACTGTGAGATTGGAGGGGCTGCTAATTGAGAATGTGATGCCCAGACTAAAGGCATGGTGTTCCACTGAAGGGGACTGTGACTACCAAATTGAAAAATAGTATTTGTCTTAAAAAAAAAAAAAAAAATCATTATCCTTTTAGTTTGGTACATTCTTGTTTCTACAGTGACATACACAGGCTTACTGAAAGGACAGCTCAGGGGTAAGAAAAGAAAGACTCCTTGTTTCCAGGAATCTTGGTTTTCTCATGTGCTTCTCTGGCTCTGCTACATCCTACCTCTTCCAGACAGTCTTATCCCCCACCTGCAACTCCAGCGACCTCACCCATAGAGCCAGCACAGTTCAGACACTGCCTCTGGAAAAGGTACAGCTGTCTTTGGTTAGCAGCTCCGTGCTCTGTGGCAGCTGGCCCCAGGCCAGGGATGTTGGTAGTGGGAGACCTCTGCTCGCCTCCCCCTTAGGGTGACTGGGAACGGTGCAGAGTCAAGCAGACAAGACCACAAGGTATCTCCTTCTGTCCTAAAGGAGACTCTCCAAAAGCTGCTGCCTGAGTTTCTTAAGCCTGAGGTATTTTGTTTAGCTTTCATGACAAACACTTGTTATCAAAATCTATTTTATTCTTAACAAGCTAGTTAGAATGTTATGGGTATCCCTGATTAAAATTTCCATTTTCCCTTGCAGTTACAGAAATCATTTCATCTTGCTCCATCTGTCAGTGGTCAGAGGCCAGGAAATTTTACTTTAAGGTTTGTGAAAAACTGATTTTTACAAAAAGAGACGTTTCTGACTAAAGAAAAATCTCTGCTAAATTGAGCAAGAGGTCCAATGTGAAATATATTCCAAATCTGGTTCAGCAAAAAACTCTGTGATTAACTGAATTAGGAAAACTAGAATCTTTTCTTTATGCCAGGTAGAGCAGATGGTGTTAAAATTCTTCCTCTGCCTGTCTGGAGCGAGAGCATTTCAGTTCCAGCAGTCTCTCCACAGTGTCTGCAATTGTACGCTCACCATGCACCTTGTTATCTCGAGTGCGGATGTTAACTGTTCCACTTGCCTTCTCCTTTTCACCAACGACTAGAAACAACCAAGATGCAAAGGAATTAGCATTTAGCAAGCTCTTTTTTCCTCCAATTCCCTTAAAACTTAGGTGTACTAAAAAATTCTTAAGAGCTTACCAACCAACACACCAAACCCTTCTCTGCCCTCCTCCCAGCTCCCCTCACTTAGATCTGTAACAGCCAACAGCCTTATTTAATCTCCTATCATTTAATAGGTTTTAGTATATTATGAACAGCAAGTTAGCAAAGTATGAGTAAAGAGAAAAGTAAACTTAATCAGTCCAGCTTGACCTACTACTTATTAGAGAGAACCGTAAAGTCAAAATGAGAAATAAACATGGAGTACTCCACAAAGATTAGAAAGACAACTTGGAATGTAAATAAGCAATAGCTATTTGTTTTCTTTACAGAGACAGCAAGACAGTTTACTGGAAAATCCCAAAGCTATTTCACTAAACATTAAGATACAGATACCAAGAGAATATATGTGTACCTTATTACTCATACAAATTTTACACAATAAATTTGGAGGTTGCTACAGGAGACTGTATTTTTCTGGTATCCAGTCTACATCCAGTGGGATAACTCTTTGAAACAACCACCGAACATAAATTAGGTGAGATTTTTTTCTCTGACGGAAGGCTGACCATTTGTTTGTGGTCTTGAAGGTAAAATGTGGTTCTATCTTGCCTGTATCATATGCTTAAAGTTCTAAAGGACAAAAGAACTTTACTCATGATTCTATCAACTACTCTGAGGGTAGAGTTTCTCTGTCAAAGGCTCCTTCTACTTTAATGCATGCAATATAGCTTTAGGGTCAATGCTAGAGCCTCAAGGTACATGACATGACTAACATGGTACTTCAAATCACATACTGCAGGGTCAGTTTCTAATTGTCCCTGCATCATGGAAGAGTCTTCTCCTGTGCATGCATGTATAGCTCAGAAATTCACCACAGCTGAATGCAGTGAAAATACAGTATTTCTTCTGCTACACTTGAAACAAGAGCATAAATTATTGGGGAGGGGTGTGAAAAAACTACTTAATCTGACTGACAAAGAGCAAGAGATTTCATATAACTCTCTACGCTGCTGACCAGAAGACAGCAAAGACCCTTTTCTAAAGCAGCAGTAATGCCTTGGGCCACAGTGACCTCCTTTCAGTGAAGCTACACAAACCAGGAACGTCTATCATGTAGGCATAAGTGGATCTCTGGAGTGCAGACTCATGAGAACAAAAGTGAGCTAAAACCTGACCACCACTCTGCCTTGCTCACAGAAGAAAGATCAAATCCTATAACCTATACAAGAAAGTCAGCCAGGATAAGGTAACAAATGCACTATACATTACCCAGAATAAAGTTATACTGTGCAAGCTGAGCATTTCTGATCTTCTTGTTCAGTGTGCACCCAGGATCTACATCAACATCTGCCATTAATCCAGCATCGTGGAAGTGCTGCCTCACCTAGGAGAAAAAGTATTTAAACTGTCACTACAGATATTCATGACAATGAACTACCTATGACTTGTAGACTTAAGTCAGTCAAGCTTATCTGACCCCTAAAACAAAGGCACTATCACTGACTCAAGCACTGGAGATGAGCCCAATTCAAGAAATGAAAACAGGTCAGCTACCATCCAAGTACACATACACTAAATAACTGATAAGCATTGATGTTAATATCTAATGTTTTGAGCTGAATAGTGATTTGAGTTTGATATTGTGAAAGGCAGCAGGATGGTGGAGCTTTCTAATTAGATGATTTTTTTTTTTTCCAGACTCTTAGGTATAGTGGGCTTGAAAGAAATACAGCAAAAGGTCTGCTGGATGCTAGATATACATAGACCCATCTTCATCTTTCTTACTGCTTTTGCTAGATGCACATGGCCATGGGAGACTAGAACCTGAAGGGTAAGACAGCTTTTGAGCTAGAGAAAAACACTGAAGTTTTCTAAAAAGAAAAGCCTCACAAAGATCAGCATTTGTTGTTTAGATACACAGACCTCTTTCGGGTCCTCTTTAAGATACATGTACCTCAGCAGCTAATTGTCACTGTAATATAAAAATGATACACTGTAATATGCAAAGACTTATAACATTTATCTGGGACAAATGCTATCAGTCATTAACAACCAAGTATCTCAACTAAATACAATATACTGAAAAAAAAGTCCCAAACCATATACATTACCTTTTGAGCATACTCATCACATGTTGGTCCCACTGGTACCACCATTACCTGCTGTGGGGACAGCCAGAGCGGCCTTTAACAAACAAACAAAACAAGTTTACATAGCTTTCAATTTTTTTTTAGTAGGAAAAATCCTATTAAGAGCACTGAAATCTACAAGAGAGATTCATAAAGCCAGCTGCTTAGAGTGGGTTCAGATATGATGACAACCCTATACTTGTTATAATTTATTTCCCAAAAGAACTGACTGTCTAAAAAAATTGCAGTGTGGACAAAAGTACTTTTTGATCTGAAGATTCAAAGCTGTGTTTCACAACAGACAACAAATCATAATTAAGTTGTTGAGCTTATTACTAACTAATCATGGGAAAACATTTACATTTGGGTCTTGTTTATAATCAGAGGGGTCGTCCACATCAGGTATTATTATACTGCAGCAATGACTTGTTGCAAGGCAGCCCAGCTGCAAAAGCAAAGTTGAGAGATATATATGTTGGATGGACAAGCTGTATGCAGCACCTACATGGGTGGTATCATGTAGAGGCTACCATATCTAGAATTATTTAATATCTAAGGAAGGTGGTTCAGAAGGAATTGCCCTGTGGTACACCTACAGTATGTCTCTGTAGCAAGCAAGTAGAAACAAACCCTGTTGATTCTTGCATGCTTGGAGCTAATTTCTTTCAAATATAAAGCATTTGCTCAAACTGGAATAATAAATCTACTTTTCCATGTTACCATTTGCCGCCATAGTTTTCAGTTAGAATGGCAATCATTCTCTCCACAGATCCCAAGATAGCCCGGTGAATGATAACTGGTCTGGTCTTGTCATTGCCATCATGGCTGTGAAGAAAGGTGTTTTTTTTAAATGTAAGGTTTTTTCTTAATGTAAATTTATGCCTGCAAGTGACAGGGAAGTTAGATTATATAGCAACCAAAACCACCAACCTCTCTGCTTACCTGACAAAGGTGAGGTTAAATCTGACTGGCAGCTGGAAGTCCAGCTGGATAGTAGCACATTGATGGTAGCGGCCAATAGCATCTTTGATCTGAATGTCAATCTTGGAAACAAAAAGACACAAACTTTTACTATAGTTTAAGATAGAAGCAGGGCTCTCTGAAAGGCAACTCATTGCTCTAAGATAGAAGGTTTCACTCAATGCAGAGGAACCATATGTGGTTTTAGACAGCATACTTGAGCCTACATTAGGACAAATGATTTGCAGGTTCTGACACAAAAAATGTTAGAGCTAAAACAGGGAGAGCAAGTAGAGAGACATTACTTCAAGGGGATCTACATTTAGTACTTCAGACAATTTTCTGTGAGTTTCAAACTGGGTCTTTCACAGGCCTTTCCACTGCTTGAATTTAGCAGCACTTAAGTGCAAATGCAAGATCAGAACTAAACAGGTCTCTCCAAACCTGAGATTTCTTCAACCTCAAACTGACAAACTTACACTCCTTTACTATACAGTATTTGAATATATTACAAATTCAGGGCATGAACATGCAATGAGAATCCTGCTGTTAACAGTCCACTTATTAGTAGGGATCACAGTAATCAGTGACACTTGTTCTGATTATGAGTATCTACAGTCAAGCCTATTCTTTATACTGCCTCTTACACTTTAATCTCAAGTACATTTATAATAGAAGTTAGAGAGAAGTATGAAAAAACAGATCTATAGTGTCCTGACCTTATTATCGCATTGCTTATTTTACCAGTACAGCTATATGTTAGGACTGTGTGCCTTATTTTAATTTATGTATCAGAGTGTTTTATTAACTTAAGTTCTAAATGTCTTCCAGCTTTGCATTCAGAAGCTAGAGTTTATCACAGTTCCGCTACTCACTAAAGAGCTTCTATCAAACTACTTACAACCTTCTTTAATTTCAAATCACCCAGTTACCGAGTAGAAGAAAAAAAAAATCCAAGTAGTTTACCCTAGATGTAGAGCTTAACTTAAAAATGTAGCTTTAACTAGTTTCCATTAAAACCAATGCAAAATGCTACATGTTTGTTCACTTTACTTTGGCTAGAGTTTATTAGGAGCAAGTATAAGGTTAATTAAGGTTAACAAAGCTTCCTGTAGATATTTGCTTTCTTTCAAATCAACCAAGGAAATTACTAAATCTTGTTTGCATTTCACATTATGAATGATTAGCTGCTATAACACATTTCACCTACAACCCATAAAATGAAATTGATTCAATCAGCACACAAAGAGAGAAATCAGAACCAGTTTACTAAATGACTAAATATAGACATAGATGTAGTATAGGTTTATTAGGGAAAGACTTAGAAGTAATTTTGAAAGGGTCTCTGTCCTTATGCTCAAAGAAATCAGAAAATTTCTAGACAGTCCTACTTAATCTGTAAAAACTGAAGAGACAACTTTGAAAAAACCCAACAAAACCAAAACCAATGCAATGGGCTTTTAAAAATAACAAAACCCACCAGCAACTCAATGCAGCTACAAAACTGTACCAGTAAATGCAACATTTTTCAAAAATTTGTTTTACCAGTAAGTTTGTTCTTCTCATGACTTAGGATTCACTTATCACCCAAAGGATCATGTTCTAATGCAGTAATTCCTGTGGTAATACAGATCTTAGAGTGCCACCTTCTGTTCATGTCTCCCACTAAACCAATCGGCTCTGTTTAAGCCACATTTTATATAAGTAAACTGGGTTTAATGAAATGAGTGTTAAAGCTGTGTGAAAATCAGGATCACAGAGTGTTATTTCTCTCTCAATTATTTCAGTTTATCTATCTGGAAAACCATAAAATTTCAGCTGTACAGCATCTTAAAATGGTATTAGATAACTATAAAAAGAATCTCTTTTTCCTAGTCCCAGCTCTAAATCTCAGGTTGTACCAGGTCATCAGTTTAAGCATCAGTTTTGATCTACAGCACCAATGCTTTAGAAACTCATACTGACATTGAAAAATTCAGTGATAACATTACATTGGAAGGGAATGTGCAGGACAGTAAGTGAAAAATAAAAGTTATCTTTACCAAGAAGATCATTAATAAAACCCTAGAGCATCACCATACTATTTTCTCCCCCTTGATCATAATAAGATATGAAAAGCACTTTTTATGTATTAACAGCATTTAGCACTCACCTGTATTTAATTAACTTAGAGCAGAACTAGAGTTAACTAGATGGAGACTTTGGCTTGGCCAAGTAGCTATTTGAAGTCATCTGGCAAACATTCTGCACAATTAGTTACCCAACACTTATAACTTCCCCCACAAAGACATTTAGCATAATTTCTTAAACACATATAGACTTTGGGGTTTTTTCTGCTTATCTGCTACACTGCAAAGAAAGTATTTCCACGCTATCCGTACTGCCAAGACTATGGTAGTATGAGTGGAAAGCAAGAACTGATAACTTTCTTTTCTGCCTCATCTAAACAGAATTAAAAGCCTAACACAAATAGGGGTAAGCAGCATACTAACCTTAGGTCCATAGAAAGCGCCATCACCAGGGTTTAACTCCCACTTCTCACCAAAGTCATTGAGGCTGTTTTCAAGTTGCTAGAGATAAGGGACACATATACTCAGTTTCTCAAATCGTTTGCTGTCTTTCCATGTTACAGATGTTACACCCTACAGATATGTGACACTACCAATTCTCATTACTCAGTTACTGCTGCAACTCATTTATTTCTGAAAATGCAAAGTTTTGAAAAAAAAAAAAAAAAAAAAAAAAAACCAAAAAAAACAACCCACAGTCCAAATTTAAACAAAAAAAAATTAATATTCATTTTGGAAGAGGCCAAACAATCAGCATTAGCTAAGATGCAAGAGATTTTTATGCTAGATGCAGTTTGTAGGTAACACTGAGAAGGGACACTCCCTGATACTCTTAAAGTCTATTCCTGCCCTATCTTCTCCCCAGCACTGTACCTGCTGGGCCTAACCCCACCTCTTTGATCTTGAAAGCAACCTGGCTTTTGGAAGATGCCTCTAAGACTTATCACAGGGGCTGCCAGAATTGGTTCTCATCCTCTTTTTTTTCAATTATCAGAAAAACACAAGGAGAGAGAGGTAATTTGATTCTGACATGAAGACTGCTTCTATATGGAAAGCAAGCTGTTTACAGCAGCCAGACTGAATTGAAAACAGTTATTAAAGTTATACTGTTCATGTCCAGCTGTCACTGTAACCTTCCAGAAGGCAGTATGTTCTTACAGGATTTTCAGCTGCAGCCTTGCTTTCATATCGAAAGTTAACAAAACTACTGTTTACCTTTTCAGCTTGATTCCACACTTCAATATCTCCCAGGTACTTTTCAGGACGAGTAGAGAGATTCAGTTTAAAGGAAAATCCAAAGACATCGTACACAGTACGCAAGAACTGCAGACAACTCTTTATTTCCTCTTCGATCTTTGTAAGAATAGAAATAAAGTCTCAAATATGGAAAAATCAGTTAATCCGATTTTAATTCCCAATTTCACTTAAGAGTGGGCCATACCTGCTCCATAGCGCAGAATATGTGAGCATCATCCTGCTGGAACCGGCGTACTCGAGTGAGTCCTGTAAGAGCTCCTGACAGTTCATTGCGATGCAGAACACCAAAATCAGCCAACCTTAATGGCAGCTCACGCCATGATCTTGGACGATGATCAAACATAAGGCTGAAGGAAAAGTTATTATTTGAGGCTTATCCAGAATCAAAATTCCACAAAGAACAGCCCATGAAAAGCAGACGGTACCAAAGAATATATACCTAAGATGCCCATAAAGCCAATGATGTAATACAACCATCATTCACATCTAGTTTTGTCAGGAAAACAAATGCAGATATCCTTTTATAGCTGGTAGGCTTCCCCCACCTCTGCAGAGAGAAGATAAAACAGCTCCTAAAACTGAGCATTAAAACCTGAATGCCTAAATTGCCACAAAATTGACAGTGCCCCAGTATCTATTTTGGGCATCTATTTGGATACTGAGGTAAGTTTCAGGTGTAAAACACAGTCACTGTAATGATGGAAAAAAGACCTTTTTTTGGTGTCTAAAGAGAGCATGTAGACAACACAACTCATAATTACATCAGTCCTGACAGCATGTCACATCTGGATACCTGAAAATAGCTATCTTTACAATTAAGCAGCCAAAAGAAACAGGAATTTTATTTTTTTTTTTTGAATCAGCATCATCTTTGGTAGACTGTATTTGCTATGTATTTACCAGTGTCCTGGACAGTTCATAGGTTTCAGAGCGAAGATTTCTTTCTCCACTTCAAAGGAAAACATGTTGTCACTGTAATGCTGCCAGTGCCCTGAAGTCATCCACAGTTTGCTATTGAAAACATTTGGAGTGACAACCTCCTGGAATCCACGTTTTCGATACTCACTCTAAAAAAACAGACCCAGTACATAAAATAACTAATAAAGCAAACAAAAGTAATGGTATTCAGCCTTCAATCTGCAGCTATATACAAATGCTACCCTAAGAAAGTCCATGACTCAAGAAGAGGGAGAGGGAGATTCAAGTTGGACATGCCAGGATACATCCCTTCCACCAGCACCACCCTTCCCCCAACAACTCCTCTGTAGGAAGCAAGCAGAACACGTTTCCTCCCTGCAAGCAAAGCAGCAGGCTCTAATTATTCAATGACACTTGATAGTATATTGCAGCCCAAATATAGACTAATAAGACAGACTTTAAATACTACAACAGGAAGATCAGGATTTTTTTTCTATACATAATTTCATAACACATAGTTCTACAAGGCCAAATCTAATAAGTTTATTTTTAAAAAAATCAATATACATCAGTGGAACAGCTGTAGTGTGATCTTAGCTGTACTATCAGGTATCGAAGAATTCATACTGTAAAGCATCATTATCACTGCTTTAACTGTAGGTATAAAGTACTGATAAAAACATAACTTAGCAAAGATTGTGACAAGACTCAGGGAGAAAAGGAGAGTTTACAGCCTTTGGAAGAAGGGGCTAGCCACTCACAGTGATTACAAAGAGGCTGTGAGGGTATGCAGAGTGGAAATCAGAAGGCCTAAAGCCCAACTGGAAATTAATTTGGCCTCTGCAATCAAGGATAACATGAAAAGTTTCTATAAATATGTCAGTAGCAAAAGAAAGTCCAGGGAGAGTCTCCATCCCCTGCTAGATGCAGGAGGAAACATGGTAACAAGTGACGAGGAGAAGTCTGAGGTGCTTAATGCCTTCTTTGCCCCAGCCTTTAATAGCAAGGTTAGTTGTATTGATGAAATTCAGCCTCCACAGCCAGAAAACAGAGACTGGGAGAACGACCCCCCTGCAATCCAGGAGGAGACTGTCAGTGACCTACTGCATCACACAGACACACACAAGTCCATGGGACTGGATGGGACACACCCGAGGGTGCTGAAGGAGCTGGCTGGGTGCTCGCCAAGCCGCTTTCCATCATTTACCAGCAGTCCTGGCTGACTGGGGAGGTCCTGACAGATTGGAAATTGGCCAGTGTGAGCCCCATCTATAAGAAGGGTTGGAAGAGCGATCCGGGAAATTAAAGGCCTGTCAGCTTGACTTCGGTACCCGGGAAGCTGATGGAGCAGCTCATCCTAAACACCATCACGCAACACATGAGGGACAACCAGATGCTCAGGCCCAGTCAACATGGGTTTATGAAAGGCAGGTCCTGCCTGACAAACCTGATCTCCTTCTATGACAGGACAACCTGCTTAATGGATGAGGGAAAGGCTGTGGATGTAATTTACCTTGACTTTAGCAAGGCTTTTGACACCGTTTCCCACAGCATTCTCCTACCAAAAATGGCTGCTCAAGGTCTAGACAATGGCATACTTCGCTGGGTAAAAAACTGGCTGGACGACCGGGCCCAGAGAGTTGTGGTAAACAGAGTTAAACCCAGTTGGCAGCGGGTCATGAGTGGTGTCCCCCAGGGCTGGGTTTTGAGGCCACTCCTGTTTTAACATCTTTATTGATGATCTAGATGAGGGGATCGAGTTGCACTCTCAGTCAGTTTGCAGATGACCCCAAGTTGGGTGGGAGTGTTGATCTGCTGGAGGGCAGGGAGGCTCTGCAGAGAGACCTGGACAGGCTGGAGCCATGGGCTGAGGCCAACTGGAGGAGTTTCACTGAGGCCAAATGCCGGGGGCTGCCCTTGGGCCACAACAACTCCCAGCAGCGCTACAGGCTTATGGGCTGGAGAGCTGCCAGTCAGAGAGGGACCTGGGGGTGTTGATTGACAGCTGGCTGAATATGAGCCAGCAGTGTGCCCAGGTGGCCAAGGAGGCCAATGGCATCCTGGCTTGTGTCAGCACTAGTGTGGCCAGCAGGGACAGGGAAGGGATCTGACCCCTGTACTTGGCACTGGTGAGGCCGCCCCTCGATTCCTGTGTTCAGTTTTGGGCCCCTCACTACAAAAAGGACATTGAATGACTCGAGCGTGTTCAGAGAAGGGCAACGGAGCTGGTGCAGGCTCTGGAGCACAGGTCATACGGGGAGCGGCTGAGGGAACTGGGGGTGTTTAGTCTGGAGAAGAGGAGGCTGAGGGGAGACCTCATGGCCCTCTACAGCTCCCTGAAAGGAGGGTGCAGAGAGCTGGGTTTGAGCCTCTTTAGCCTAGTAGAAAGCGACAGGACAAGAGGGAATGGCCTCAAGTTGGGCCAGGGAAAGTTCAGACTAGATATTAGGAAGCATTTCTTTACAGAAGGGGTTGTTAGGGGTTGGAATGGGCTGCCCAGGGAGGTGGTGGAGTCCCCAGCCCTGGAGGTGTTCAAGAGTAGGGTCTATTCAGAACTTAAGGATATGCTGTAGGTGGGAACTGTGCTAGGCAAACGGTTGGACTGGATGATCTCCAGGGTCCTTTCCAACCTAGATGATTCTGTGTGATTCTGTGTGTGAAGACCAATTCAAAGAAACCATGTTTCTCTAGTTCCGTGGCTTACAGACTAAGAGATTAAACTAATTTTAAATGAAGGGCTGTTAATACTGTTATATGTAACATGCTGTTATGTACTTTTCTAAAATTAAACAATTTCTTCTACAAGATTTCCAAAAGACATTACTTACCCGGATAAACTCAATTAATGTGTTATAAATGTAAGCTCCTTTTGGCAAGAAAAAACAGCTACCAGGGCTGAGCTCATGAAAGAAAAACAGTTCTTGATCCTGCAGAAAAATAGTGTTTGAAAAACTTAGTATCTGTACACCATCTTTTTTACCTAACATCCACAAATTACTACTGACCAGGAATCACGAATTTTAAAAAAAATAAAAGAGGAATACCAATAATCAGATACACTTTCAGTAATAGTTAGATCTCCATCAATACCTATAGGGGAAGAAGATTGTTCAGTTTCCTGTTCCATTACTGACGCTCCAAAACTTCATATTATGTCTAACTCCTAACTGTATCCCCACAGCTCCCTTTGTACATTGACAAGTAATGTTTAGTTCTGCTCCTGCAGCTTTCTAAATATTTGCACATGAACTGAATGTGTGAAGTGTAGTTGGTTGATGTGACAAACTGTGTACGTGCTTGGGGGCGGCATATAGTGAATTCTTCTGTATATTTTCCTGATGTCCTAGCAGTAGACCTTGTAACAGTGTTCAGGACTACCAATTATCTGACGGGGGTTTCTATCTGAAAGACAAAACCAAAAACCAACCAACCAAAAAAACACAGAAACATATTATGGATTCTGAAATCACACAGAAGAACTGTGAGTGAATAGGCGGCAGCAAACTGTGTAGGAATGAGCAATGCCTGCAGACCAAATGTTCTATTCTGATTTGATCTGTGGAATAAGGATGTCACCATGTTTAAAACAGTGAAAAGTCTAAATGGAAGTTATTTGCTTTAGGACTTTTGATGCTCTTCAAGAGAAAAGTACCCAGCTTTCTGACTCAACTGAAAATGTGATCGTGTCACATCTCAGTTGTGGCAGCAAGTATACACTGTCTTTGAGATGCTTCTAGTTACGGGGTTATATCCACACAATGCTTGTGAAATACATTACTAGAAAAACTGTCTCACCCGCCCTATTTTTCTGTGATCTCTGCTTTTTGCCTCCTCCTGGAATTTCTCCCATTCCTTCAGCATTTTTCCATCTGGAAATGAAATGCCATAGATCCGCTGGAGGGATTCCATGTCAGCCTTGCCTTCCCAATAGGTAGAAGAATTCTGCATGCAAAAAGACATGAAACAATGAAGGAAAGGAGGAGCCTCCACATTTTACTACCACTGCCGCTACTGAAAGGCATGTCATTACTAATAAATCACTATACTTAATGTAGAACAACTAAGGCATATGGAGAGTTTTAATCTTAAATTCAGAGCACTGATTAGAAAAATCCATAAAGATCAGGTGAACAAAATATGTAAAAATGGTTTCAAGCTCTCTTGTCTTTTTTTTAAAGCTTATCTGTTCTTTTTGTAGCCATCCTATTCCAACTGCTTATCCACACTCAGCTGAGCAAAAACTGTAAACTCTAATAAATACAGTTCAACCAAGCCTTAGGCCACACTCATGCTCCTATCTGTGCTGAAAGTACAGGCTCCGGCCAACCTAGTTGGGCCTCACACCATCTGAACATGAATTTTAGCATCCAACTCTTCCCCAAATTTGTTACATTGAGTTTTTGGCCAGGTTACCCATTTTGTGGTACATCCTTGGGTAAGTGACCATTGCATTGCCCAAAGAAAGGAACACATATTCAGTGAAAACATTTGTCTAAGGCAGTTTCAGGACTTACCTTATGAATTTTTATGGTCTTTATCTTGCCAGTGTGTCTGACGTGAGGCCCTCTGCATAAATCTATCAAGGGACCACACCTAATAGGAAATAATTCATTTGGTATATTTCATCCTAAAATCTTATATCCAGTAATATTATGATGCATGTGTAATTACCTGTATACTGTTGTGGTTGGAGTATTGACCTTCTCATTCAGGATACGACACTTGAATTTATTATACTGAGAAGAAAAGCAACACACGTATCTCTTAACTCCTTGTTAAGCACGAGAACTGGCCAGCAGTTTAAATTATTTGCATACCTCATGCTATGCTGCATCAAAACAGTATTGTAAAAGACAAACAGAAAGATAGTCAAATAGTGAAGCAAGCTGCTCAGAGAGCAGGTCGTGCAGTCTCCATCCTGAGAGGTTTTGAAGGCCCAACTGGACAAGCCCTGAGAAACCTGGTCTGACTTCAGTCCTGACCCCATGCCCTGTCCATGAAATTGGACTGGAGCCCTACGGAGTGACCTTCCAACTTGACTGACACTATGATTCTCCTGATGTCCTAACAGTGAAAACTGAGTAATGTCTATCTCAAGAATGCCAGAAGATTAACTGCAGCTAGGTACTAAAGAGAAAGGATCAGCTTTTAGTGTCACCTGGACATTCTCAGAAGTCCTCATTCTAAAACATGTTTTATGAAGCTTTCTGAATGCATCAGCACATGCAGCTATAGTGTCACAACATTTTACTAACAGTCAATATAGGCATATAACATAAATGCACACAATATATTGTAAATTTACATCTGTGGGAAATAAATGAAGAATGTAGCTTTAAAGATTTTGCCAAGGGCACGCAGGAAAGGAATGAGAATTCTTAGTTGCAGAAAATCCAATGCACACACCTAAGAACCTAAGAATTACAACCACTCTTTTTTTTTTTTTGTTAAACATCACAAATGAGCTTATAAGAATATATCACCTTAAAAAGTTAATTTGATTGACCTTCCTCTACCACAAACAGAACACGTGGCTAGTAACAACATAAGTACACAATGCTAGAAACAACCTTCTGAAAGAGCCTACCTTAAACATTTCAAGCAATGTTTCCTTCTTAACTTCCAGTCTTTCAAAGGCTTGTTTTTCTTTCATTATCTTCTTGCATAATGTTTCCAAAGCAGAGAAGTCATTACTTGATACACCCCTAAAATAAACCCAGACAAAAAAGTGAATCATTCTTGCTTTCACTTGCAATTTCTGATCCAGTTGCAATGCACCAGCCTGTGGATGGGACACACTGCGAAAAAAAAAGCAATCGGCAATAGTGCAGATGACTTTGTTCAGGAACAAGCAGGTAAGAGAAATTTTCCTGTGACCCATCCCCCCAATCTTAAAAATACAAAACCTACCCTTCCTCCAGGAACATGTCATAATAAAATCCATTATCTATTGGTGGGCCATAGCACAAACAGCCACCATAGATTCGCTCCATAGCTTCACCCATTATGTGAGCACTTGAGTGCCAGTATACCTAATGGAAATAAAAACATGGGGATCAGTCTGAATATGCACAACGCTTTTCTGAGAATTCTATTTAAAACATTTTCTGAAATGCTTGCTTTTAAGGATACTTGACACAGATCCTGCATTAGAACAGTCTGCAGAACAATAAGTGCCCTGCCTAGTGACACTCTCATCCTAAGCACCAATATTTCCAAAAGGCAACACTGGAAAATTGCTTACAGCCTGGTAGCAAATCATTCCTATTTTCAACTAATGTTGAAATGATTCAGTTGTCATCAAGAAGTCAGGAAACTAATTCAGAAACTTTTTTTTCCTGTGAATATCAGTCAATCAGCTCTGCATAAAGACCAAAAGGTGTGTTTTCAGTATAAAGCTGTGGTCCTAATCTGAAGATTTTATGCATGGGAAATCCTGCACTGAAGTAGTTATGAAGTTCATAAAGTTAAAAATTACACTCCATCTTGTAGTACACCTCAAGTTTTGACAAATTAAAACCCAATCTATAGGACTTCAGTTTTTATATGCAGAGACCAGAAAACATAAATCTTACAGACACCATCACTTAGCCAATATGAAAACCCTGTCTGAATGCAAGACCTGTGATGAGTTTGACTGACAGCTTCTTGTACCAGATCATTTTTTCTAAAGACAATATTTACAAATTTACTTGATATCCACATTTATCGGAATGATTAGCCAAAATAAGATACACAGTTTTGGCATGTACAAAGTAAAAGAGTAGCCTACTCAGTACTTTAATGACTGTACATAGACAGTACTTTTGTATTCAGTATTCTTCTTCAAAGTCAGTGCTGAAGTGGTTGCTGAAGGTTGCAAATATAAAATTCTAATGAGAATAGACTTGACAGTCTACAGCAACTGCTAGCACACCTGGCTGCAAATACACAGCAGAATGCACATTATCTGCAGTATTGTAAGGAACTATCAGAAAATGTAAATGTAGCTGCACAGCAAACCTGTTCCAATCTCCTCATCTTTTGAACACAGTAAAGATGCAAATAACTATTCAAAGCTGACTTTAATGCAAATCCAAGAGCAAACAAATTTTGGGAGAAGAGACTCACTGCTTGAGCGTCTTCATCTTCAAACTTAAGCAGCTCCAAGGTACAATCCTCCTCCAAAGGACGGTCTAGATCCCAAACTGTCTTGTTCACTTTAGCAATAACAGTGTTGTCAGCTAAGCCCTGGCTACAGAATAAATACACAGTATATGACATTTTGAAATCAGCAAGAAGTTCCCCAAATTTGCCCTCCATGATGAATAAGAATATCAGAAGTGTTCAGAGTGAGCACAATATGGTAACTTCCAAATAAAGAGCAGTTTAGCCAGTCTTGAACGTTCATGAAAATCCTACTTGCATCCTGAAGACAAAGAAAACCACGCTGCATACTTGACATTCGTACGTTCACTAACATTATTTAACTTGGATGCAGACACCTCGAAGTATTAAGCTGACTTTAAAATCCTATTGTAATAAGAGAGCTTCTTTTTTTTTAAATTACCAAATACCACTTCTGATGCAGTAACTTTACAGTTTTGTCTCTACCAGGCAAAAAACCCTCGCCTAGATCCCAAATAACAAAAGCAAAGTCCCCAATGACAACGCAGCTAAGCATGAAAAAAATGGTATTACACCTCTAAGAATCATGAAGTTTTTGTAATTTTAACTGTCAGCATGTCCAGTGTGCATTGTTCAAAACTAGTCCACAGCAAGTTTGAGTGACCTAGAGATGTACAACACTCCTTTTGATGGGTATCTCCCTTGCAGGTGAAAATGCAGTTAAGTGAAAGATACTCAAACTGTTAACTCTCTGAAATCAACTGGAACATCACCCAGCAGTTATTTTCCCCTGGTCAATCCAAACTGGTTTCCACGTGCTAACATTCAATTTGACAGAGTAAATGTATTAGCAAATTAGTTCTTAATGCAACGACAGTACTTGCGGGGAAAAATATGCAAGTAATGGTTGTCTAAAAGATCTCAATTACATTCTTATTGAATTTCAGAAACTGTGTCTTCATAAGGAAAAAAAATTACACTCCAAAACTAAACCCCTATTGGTTACCTCCTGTTTCTTACATACAAGATGCCTTGAGAAGAGCTGAGATAAATGACTAAGAAATTACGCATTTACCCATACCCTCACAGCCACAAGCTGCAAACAAGAGCTGTCTGAAAATGACTGTGTATCACAGAATAGAATCATACCTAATTCCACAAGCGATTTGATAGGGAGTAGTCTTCCAAGATTCAGCATCAACCTGCTTGCCATCAGGTAATGTAACTTTAATAGGTTTACTGTCATTTGCAGCTCTTTCTGCAAGGAGTGCATCATGCTCAGCTTTAAGTTTATTGTACATCTCTAAACGCTCATTGATAAATGCAGGCCAGGGATTCAACTATATATAACAAATAAGGACAAGGGAAAAAAATCAATAGTATTAGAGTAATATAATAACACATTATGTCAAGAATGCAAACAGAATGGATATACTTTCTACAAACATCTATGTGGCCATAGCCATGTATGTGTTATATCTAACAAATAATTATCATTATTACAGATTAACTTTATATTATTAATTATATGGTAATATCAGCTTAACGAAAATTATTACTTTGAAATGCACAACTGTACACCTGTTTAATAAACTACACATGTTATTAAGCATCTGTTTAATCAGCTACACAAGGACAAAAATCAATTTGAAAAGACTGTTAAAGTTCAGCATAAAAATAGGTTTTTCTTATTAGGTCAAAAAACCGAGGGAAAATGTCTACTCTGAGCCACCTGGACAGAAACTGACTCCAGCCTACACGTCATGTAATGACGTCAGGACTGTCAGCTTGGACAAAACCAGGGTTATTCAGCTATGCAGTTGACTCGGGATTAGGCTAGCAGCTGGCCCTCTCTGTGCAGTCTGAGGGACCTGTGTTTACCCACCACGAAGGTGGAAAAGATAGCACCTTACACAGGCTTCCCTCATCCCAGAGATCTACTCCCAACCTCCTGGTGCGAACAGAGGCACAATGAAAATCAACTCCAAGCAGCAACTATGAAAATCTGAGCTGCTCTCCCATGACACCAATACAACTGGTGTAAAAAGCAACAAAGTCACTTCATGGCAAACTCTGGGAAATAAGAGTGGGAAAAGGAATAACTGTAATGCCAGATAAAATAGTTCAGAGGGATGGACTGCTGCAGTTAATGCCAGCAGTAACACAAGACAGCGACGAGGAGACCGCATCTTTCAAAGCCCCATGTTCCAAGTGCCGCTCACCTCCGTCCGCCCTGCATCGCCGGCTCCTTCCTTCATTTTCTTCTTTCCGCAGTCTGCCTTTTTTTCTTCCCCAGCATTTACCTGAGGAGGGCGAGCACCATTTCCTCATTTTCCAGCAGCCCCTCACACCTACGCCGCTTTAACCCCCCCTCAGCCCCACAGACCAGGGAAGAGACCCGATCTCTTCGCCGCGGGAAAGCCCAGCCCAGCTCCCCGCTCTTTTATCTTCAGGTAAATCCCACCGCCTTTCAACCCTGCTCGCCCCGGAGCTGGGGAAACCCCCAACGACCCGCCTGTAAGGGTGAGGGGGAAGAGGCCCAGCTCCCTCCTGCCGCCAGCACCCGTCCTCCAGAAAGGGCTGCTCCCCGGCCAGGCCTGAGCCGGGAAGAAGGGGACGCCCCGCCTCAGGACACCCCCCGGCCCGCAGTGAGGGGGAGCCGCGCTGCGGAGGGAGCCGGTGCTCC